TCGACTGCAAACAAGGATTATTGCGAATCAAATGTATCCAAATAAGTCCGGTAGTATTTTCTAGTCACAGGCGATAGCATAGTAGCCATAAACGCAATCACATTTTGAGGTCTATAGGTATTTATTTAACTTTTTTATTTTGATATATAATGAACTTTAGAGCCGGCCGTACCGACATTTATACTTAAATGGAATTATGAAAGTTAATAGTTTTAAGCCTGACTTATTTGAAAATACGAAAATAATATAACTTAGGCACACCCTGTCCGTCGGTCGTGATGTTTGTGGAGAAACCGACTGGTTTACCACGATCTGCCACAAGCGGTAGGACATTGAACCGGCATTAAGGGCTATTTTATAAGATTTTTCCGTGAATTAAATTCAATATTCTGCTTAGTTTTTTTTTTCTGAAGATTCAAAACCGTACATTAGTATTTATTAAAATTCAAGTCTGATACTTCTAGTTTCTCAAAGATTTACTATTACATTGTTAATATATATAATAGTATGAAATGCATTACTGAATATTTTAATTTTCGTGTTCATCAATCATCAAGTATATAACCAGAAATAGAGATGAAATGTCATTTAATTTGTTTGAAAACTATTCTGCCAAATCATTACGGTGACAACTGCGCTCCGATTGGCTAGCCCGAATTCGGAACAATTGACAGGTGTCGTCAATTGTTTCACTTTAAATCGATCGGATTAACTCGAACTTTGCTATAATGGACGAAAATTAAAAAAATAATTATTTAACATTTAATTACCGATGAAAAGTGATTCCGTTTGTTTTGTGATTAGATGTTTTTCTGTTTTTTCTCATACCATCGAATGGAACAGCCCCCCCAGATATTGTCTTTATTACAATAAATACAGAATATTTTTGGAATATACGGAGACGTACATATAGGCCAGTTGTTGGTGCTGTACTATTTCAGCTTTCTAATTTGTGATGTCAGCGCAAACGAGAGTTGATATTTAAAAGTTATATAACGCCCATTTGCCTGATAAGTTGCCAGGGATGGATGGCCCTTATTCCTTCTCTATTTCTGATTATATATTCGATGTTATCGATTCACTGCTGCCATTAAAAAACTACATTAACGTTTTCAGTTAAGGTTGACCAGTGACATTCTGTATATTTTAAATAATACGATGTTTTTCTTAAAAACTCGTACACGTCAGTGTCAGAACTTAAGTAATCAATTTACCTTAAGCGTGAAACACACAGAGAGCGGGTGCAAGTCGGGCGCGTGACGGGCACATGCGCCCGCGCTCTGTGTGTTGTCGTCCATATAAATACACTGAATTAGACCCGCCGCGGTCCCGACCCGATCTGCACCCGACCTACACCCGCTCTCAGTGAGTTTCACGCTTTAATCGTTTCGATATTTTACATTTTTTTATTTAATAGCAGTAGAGCTCCTTGTGAAAGAGTTTGTCCAAGGAAATACTGCCACCTTACCTATTTCTGCCGCCAAGCAGTAATGTAAGCATTATTGTGTTCCGGTTTTGAAGGGTAAGGGTAATGGTGAAATTACAGGCACATGGGACTTGTCAACTTATGTCTCAGGGTTACGGGTGCAGTGGCGGTGCAACTGTTATGTCCGATCTTAGCGATTTAAAGCTCTGAGTGGCACTGTAATTGTTATGGACAGGCATGTAGCTTACCATCATGCGCACGACTTGTTCGTTCCGTCACTTGATATTATAAAAAAAAGATTTAAGGTTAATATTTCAAGTACCGTTTCATGTGGTTAAACGAGGTCGTTTCCACAAATGCACGTCTACTTGCGTATACTATATACAATATCACATATACAGATACGAGTATAGAGATAGTTTCTAGACAAACATGGTCACTCTACAAAGTAACCATCAAAGCGTGAAAATGGAAAGCGTTCTTATCTAATTATCAAAGAACTTAATAACACAATGCTGTTATATCGTATTATCACTACTAAGTCTATTATGTGACTATCATTGCCTTGTTCGTAATGGTCATAAACAATAGAAACATGATATATGAAAAAACTACCAAGGAACGCGCCAATTCATGTTACATGTTATAAATGTGAGACCTACTTAGTATCTTTAATTAAATACACACTACATATAACAGAAGTAGTTAACACTAAATTTCACTTGTCGGTGTTTACTATAATAGACGTCAAAAATTTACAATAAAATTAATTTCTTTAGAATGTAATAATTTCTTTAGAATATAAACATGAATATCATCTGCAATTAGTGTAATAGATATGAGAATTTAAGGGGGTAATAGACTATACAGTAGTATATTGTACACTGTTGTCTCTCTAGAAACCTTGCAGATTCAAATACTGAGCGAGCTGTGTTTAAGTAAACTGACAAATTGACCTCGTAATTTGACTAAGCCGTCATCATCAACCCATTTACATGTCCGACTGCTGGACACGGGTCTCCCCTCAGGCGAGGATTTTAGGTCATAGTCCGCCACGTTGGCCCAATGCGGGTTGGGGACTTTACACTTTTTCTGAGGGTTGTGAATCTTCTTCGACGTGCAGGTTTTCTTACGATGTTTTTTTTCACCGAAAAGCCCATGGTAAATTTAAATTAAATTTTGCTGACAAATTCCGAAAACTCCGAGATGCGAACCCGGGTTCGAACCCATGGCCCTCTGCTCGAGAGGCGGTTGGCCAACCCGTTAGGCGACTACGCTTTTTTACGGCGGCTAGACCATGCTTTTAATTAAATATCGGTACATGTTGGAAGAATAAGTGAACAAAAAATGTGTGATAAAATAAGCTAAAAAATCTGAAAAAATATCCGAAAAAAAAATGAGAAACGTCCCGCTGTACTGTTTCAAATAACCAGTGGGAATAAAATCAAACAAAAAATTTGTATTCTGGAAAGGATTGAACGTGACCTAAGGCGCGTACAAGAGTAATATACGTACTTACATATAAGTACACTATATGCATATATATTTTAAGTACATGTTTTCTCTACACATTGAGTCGTTCCGGTCGGTCAGTTTCAAGTACACTTGAATAGAAATTTGCCATACGTATGTTGCTGTGTACTTTATTAGCTTTAATTATGTAATTTTAGTGTGTAGAAATTCATGTTGAGTAATTGATGGCGTCACAGCGTGACTATTTCTTTAATTTTGCTATGGATAGCATCAGTATTTAATTTTGTTTCTTTGTTGTCAAAATGGAGAATGTATGTATTTTAGATTGTCTAAACAAAAACCAAGACAGGGAAAATCGATTTTTGAATCGATATTTCTGCTGCCTAGCAGTAACGTGGACATTACCGCGTTCCGGTTTTAAAGGGTAAGGGTGCTGGTGAAACTATAGGCGCATAGGACTTGTCAACCTATGTCTCAGGGGTCACCCTGTGTGAGAAATAGTGCCACTGCACCTGACAGGTGCAGTGGCACTATTTCTCAGACATTTGCTATTTAAAGCTCCGAGTGGCACTGCGACTATTATGGACAGAGGTGTAACTTACCACCAAGCACGACATTTGATATTATATGTAAAAAAATCGAACCTGGGACCGCAGAGATGGCGCCATGAAAACCGATGTGCAAGTCACTAAACCACAGAGGTCCTCAAATTAGATGTATGTTTCTCTGTTTATGAAGAACTATCAAGCTTTATATTTCTACCGCAGGGTAAAACTACTGTGTTCCTGATTGAAGTCTAAAGCCAGCGGAATTACAGGGAGGGAAACTTAAATTCTTATGCCGCACGGCCTACGCGCTGTTATGATATTAAGGATATTTCGTAGCATCGCTGGTATATGTAAGTGGTGATAACCTTACATCAAGTAGGTCATCCGACTGTTTGTCGCTTTAAATTTTACAATAAATAAATCAGTGCTTGGTATTCAACACTGATATGACCATCAATGTTGAATACCAAGGCGTTTTCCCAGTCTTGTTCTTGGATATGTGTAAAGGCGTTCGCTCATGAATGTACCGCCATTCGGTCGGGATATTTCACCAATCGCCGCCAATCACCGGTGTTGCGTAAGTGAAACCTATAGCGAAGGTCCTCGCAAATCCAGTCTTTAGTGTTACCAACTTTGTTATCGTTAATTGTTCATAAAACTTTACAATCCTAAGATTTTTTATGATTTTGTGATGCTTATATCAATGAATAATATGATACTTGTGTGTTACAACTTTTCACCACGCGTCCTAGAGACACACAGTGTCCCTGATGATTTTGGTACAGCTGCTATTTAATCCATGCGCGCGGCTGTTTTTTCATCACACATATCAAAGTTCCGGTTTTTTTTATTTCCACTTTTTATAGAAATTGCGTGGAAAGACTCAAGTGTAAGTGTCTGTATTTTTTAAAAGTTACTTTTATTTTAATCCCAGGCTCGAACCACAATAGTTTATTGGCGGAATTATTTTGGAACAAAATACACGACACTTTTGCTTTAACGGTTGAATTTTCTGATCGAACACCGCCTTGCTGAAAGACAATATCCATATATTTTTTGACTGCAGGTCAATGGTACGTCACTTTTTAGTTACATTTTTAAAGTTTTTGAGTTATGGTAACATAGGTTAACCTACACGCAAAATAGGCGCCTAGGCGAAGTAGTGGACACCAGCCCGTCACGTCATACTACATGATACCATGGGTTAATAACATATGCTAACTACAACTTAAAATCTAAACATCAGTTTAATAACAACCCTCACAGATGATTTCCTTGACACGTTTAAGTTTTATTATAAATCGTTCACCAGAAATTTACCTATCACCTATACGAACTACTTCAGATATCATACTACTCACGTAAATGTGTTTTATTGGCTAAGAGGACTCGTTTAATGCAACACTTGAATGCTGAGAAGAAATTTAAACGAGAAGGACAACCACACCCGATCTCCAATCTAACTCCTTAACTTAAAACTACAATTAAGAATTTCAAAATTTACGTTTCGTAAGTTAAAGCCCTTCCACTAGAAACTTCTAGTGGGGAGGTGATCGTTCACCAGTGGCGGTTAGGCCGTGAAGTGCAGTGGTACATTTGGTACTCTATTGGTGGTACACTGCTTTATTTTTCAATTTATAGTTCTTTTAACTTGCTTCAAAATGTGTGGAGAAATGGGAAAGGCCGTGCTACGAGCGCTTACTACTGCGTTGTTGTGCGGTCTTGTTTCTGATGCTGCTTATTTACAGGTATGTTGACTCTGTAACTAGTGAGTTACAGGTGTGTTAGATAGAGTCTTGGACAATATAAATAGGGTGTACAGATAGGAATTAATTTTTCAAATTTTTTCTAATTATTTATTCTAATTCTCTCTCTGACCTATTATGTGCAAGTTTTTTTTAACTCAGGACAGTGTAGATTTTTAACTCATGATAGTGTAGATTGTATTTTAATAAATGCAAATAACATCTTATTAAATAAAAAGGTTTTGCTGTCAAGGCTTCTCTGCAGACAAGTAAATAAGTCATCGCCAAAATGTAGAGTAAACTAAATCTAGAAAGGTCTTTAGTTCATTCGGTCATTTTTTTATGACACATTGGGTTAATTTTATGTTATGTTAGTTTTTCTTTAGTATTATTTTGTTTTAATGCAATAATTTAAAATTTCAGTATATCCCTTAGAAAAAATAATATATCACAAAATAATACTCTGTAATGTGTGTGTTACAACGAGATGCGAATATGTACTAATTGTCGCATATTTAACTGGGTGTCTCTGCTTGTAATAGGCGACTTCTTGTGCCTGTATAAGTATATCTACTTTTGAATGTCGAGCACAGTTATAATTGGGCACAGATATTTCTACTGTATCAATTTTTACGTGTTTTTTTCAATATTTTTTGTGTCTAAAGTCTGTTAATGTGCCTAAAAAAATCGATTTAGAATTTATTTTAATTTTGTTCTGAAAGGGAATTAATTATTTCATCCTTTCAATATTAAAAAATATAGGATTTTTTCTATATTTACTCGATTCGATTCCCAGATGGTTTTAGTCATTTTTAAACGGATTTGAAGGCAGTGTTACTTACTTTTGGACTTAATGTTTCCATGAAGTAAAATATCCTATCTACAATATTTTAAATACTTCCTCCTTCGTGCTCCATATCCGTGAGACACCCAATATTTTTTTCAAGGAGTTTTTTCGAATACGTAGTATTTAATATCATTATTAACAAATCAATTCGAATCTTCTTTATCGTGTACACTGATTGTGCAATACACATGTATTGTATTATGTATCTCTTAGGATAAAGCTAAAGTGGTCTGTTCCTTGAAATGCGGGGACGTCGTTCTAATATGTAGAGGTCCCCGTAGGTTTCATGGATATTATCACCGTTTGCATCGGTGATTACAATCGGGAATTGTCCCTGTTGTTGGAACATATTATTTTTATTCTCCATGTACCTTGTATAATATGATTGTAATATGTTGTGCGAAGTTTAAAGTCAAATTATTATAGAAAATAATATTGCTGTCGATAGACAATTTCAATTCCAATGGTCGGACACTCTAAAACAGTTTAAAGTAATATATCGAGGTCTTAGGTTTTCGAGATTACGACACGTTGATGATGGAACTATCTTTTCGGCTCTATAATCGCTTATATTTCTTTTTTTTCGGACTCTTTCCAGGTCTTATGGACATAGCTACTTGTACAAGTTGGTTGTTTGGAAAAAGCAAATGTATCTCTATTTTAGATTAGAAAAAATTGTTTCATTTGAAATGATATTCTAAGTTAAAGTAAAACTTTTCAAATTCAAAAATCGATAAAATTCTATTTTTAGATTTTGCGTATTCAATCATTTTGCTATACGTTATACTACTGTGTAGGGGTGTTTTTCGAGGAAACGGCAATAGGGTTAAATATGAACCATTGCTTTTTTCCCTTAGAGCGCGACGCCTGTAAATTATTGTTTTAAAAAGAAAACACATGTTTATTATAGTTACGTAATGTTTACTGATTACATAAAAAAAAAAGAACTGTAAATGTTTAATGATCAAAAATTTCAAAAAGAACTTTTTAAAAATCTCGTGTATATTTCGCAATTTTTTAAAATTTATTGTCGCATGTATCCTGCTATTTTCGAGACAGCGGAACATCAAATTTAAAAATGAGACTGTACCGTTTAAAAGCGGGACGTATGGCCACACGTATGGACGTATGGTTATTTTCGAGTCACTAGTTTGATAAAAATAAAATATTCCGAGTCTATGGAGATAACAAATAAAAAATCTATGGACATTCATGTCGCTTACCATCAGGCGCACGACTTGCTTGTCCCGTCATTTGGTATAATAAAAAAACTCATTTAATCAATTACCCTTCACCGTACAGACAAAATGAATATGTAATGAAATAGGTACTCAAATCGGCACGTGAGTTCAAAAACTTTATTATTATGTATAATGTAAGAGATGGACCTGGCGCGAGTCGAGACAGTGCGAGGGCTTTGTACAAGGCGGATTCCCCAACTGTGCTATTATATCTTCTAAACAATTTCAACTTCCGAATAACAATTCATAATTCACAAAGGGTGAAGTTTTGATATAATTGGTGTTTAAACTAGAGTTATTGCGATAAAAGGGCGGACCATTCGCGACCTTAAAACATCTACTTACGACATTTTAGCCCCATAAGGGAACACTAACTTTTGCAATTTTCCTTTTTCCCAAGTTCCCTTGAGCCCTTCAAAGGCGAATTACTGTTGGTTAAATTTACTTTCATTTTCGTGAGGAACGCCTGTTTTTTAGTTCCATTTCTTTGATCAAGCTCCTCAGAGTGGAAATTGTTGGAAACTTGGCTGTTGCCACCAAATTGGTATTCAGGAGTAATTTCACAAATTCTCACCTTCCAGTGTTTTTTGGAGTTCTCTTCGAAAAGTAACATAACAACATAAGTAGTATAATTTTGAACATTGTTGCTAGGCAATATTCATTTGTTATTCTAGTTTTAGCTAAAAATTAATTACACATTTTTCTAAAATATTCTCTTTCTTTTGTATGTTTCTCCACGTATATGTAATCACTGACGCAGCGCGCTCAACTTAAGTAGCCTAACTTCAACTTATTTTTTTACATTAGGTACTTGGCTTATTTTTCTATAACATTTTTAAGGCCTACCTTTCAAGGAAACAAAAAGTATTTTAAGATGAGCACTGCGGAACTCTGGGCAGTGAAAACGGAACGTACTTTATATTATTTTTCTTTTTCTCTCTGTTTTATAAGACACTTCCTTATTTATTGAGTTTTTGGTAATACATCTTGTTTGATCTCAAAAGCACTTTATGGATATAGAATTCCCAAAAAGGAAATTTTGTTCTTATAAAATATAAAGACATTATGGGATTTGCATATTGACTGTAAATTGTAAAATACGAACATATTATTTCAGATTTTTGTTATTATTCAATTTAATTATTTATATTTGAAATATGAAGATATGAAGAAGACTGCCTCCGTGACCGAACGGTCACCATCCTGCACTGCCTCGCAGTGGTCTGGGGTACGACTCCCGGGGCGGGAGAAATATTTGTAGAGTCTACATCTATTTCTCTCGTGAGTTTGGGTGTAATTTGTGGTTGTTTATGTGTGTGCCCATGGCCATCTGCGATACAGGTTTTCCACAGTGCGAGGCTATGAGAGTGTGCATTATTGTTATGAAGATATGTTGTTGTTCGTTTAAATTTTGTACCTACTACAACATTATTAATTTTAAATAAATATTATCATTTTTAAATTGTATGGAAATTTTTGTTATGATTATTAATAAAAAGATCGAACACAAAGCATTTTTTTTTCGATCTGACAAGACTCGAACCTGATTCGGTGCCAGGGCGACCGATCTTCGACCATTGTATTAATAACTACAACAAACTAGTGGAATAATTTTATAACAAATAAATCAATATCATGGTAGTTAAACATCATGATATTCAAAACAATAAATATTCTAAATATTGTTGTGATTAATTTGAAAGATATTTCATAAATAAATATTAGACAACATCATATAGATACGTCGCCCCGATCTCAAAGTAAGTAACTAAAGCACTTGTGTTATGGAAATCAGAAACACCGACAGTACCACAAACTTCCAGACCTGGGAAAATATAGAACAGTAAGTTTTACATTGACCCGGCCGGGGATTGAACCGGTACTTCGAAGATGGCGACATCATGAAAACCGGTGTGCAAGCCACTCGACAAAATATACAGTTATCTTAAAAAATACTCATATTATGGAATGTTGGAAATAGGTCATGCAAATTATATGAATTAAAATTTAAATTAATAAACTTTATCATGTTTCATTATACATTATTATAATTATCCAATACAAGTTATTGTACAGGCAATTTTTTTTAATAAAATATTCTTGCTCTTGACCACTACCTAGCTTTGGAGCAAAGATAGGATCTACGATGGAACAAGCTTGCCCAGAAGATGCCTATTTAGTCGCACTTTAAAAATACTCGGGTTGTATGAGATCGAAAACACACTCGCAGCAGGCAGGAATTCCATTCCTGGGCTGTGCGCTTAATGAAAGATGATGAAAAGCGCTTAGTACCCTAGAAGGAAATATCGATAATGATCATGATACACAACTTTCCGATAAAAATGTCATACGTAAATAAAAACATTGCAGTTTTATTGCTGGTACAAACAGACTCATTATATTATGCTTAGTGAATAATTCTAATGATTTCTTTGAATATAAAAACGGAAACAAATTATTACGATATACGGACGTAAGTTGGATTAGCATCCTATTTGCCTTGTAGTTTCCCTCAAATTGCCAAGAGAAACCAAATATTTAAAAAAACAAAAACCCGACTGAAAATATGTAATGTAATATGTAGCTGGAAATTTAAAAAAAACCCCCCTCACTATTTTCATTATTTTTTTGTAGCCTATGACACTCCCACAATCAAGACGAATTTAACGACAACACATCAAATGTTAAAATCTATCAAGCCGTTTAGGCTGTACAGGGAAACATAGAAATGGACATAATAATATATACATACATATATACACTTGAAAAAGTCGGGTAAAAAGACGGTTATCATTTTGTTTAATTAAATATTCGATGAAAGCAAATTAATATTTAATTATCTCATTCACAGAGATGGGCAAGAGCCCGGGTTTTCACCCGGCGCTTAGTTAACGCCGGGTTTAATTCAGGTTAAAACCCATCAACATTTACAATTAAATATTTGTTGTAAATTGAGTTTTGTTGAAACTTAATGATATTATTACAAAATTCTGATCTGAACGATTCGATTCGTCTTTCTATTGAATCGATTCGCTTGAAAATTTCATTGAAATAACTCCATACAAAAAATCGTCAGACCTTATGCACTTGAATTGATATGGACGACAACACACTCTTTACAGGCTGACTGAGATGGTAGTCATCAACCAGTTATGTCTAATACTACTGCAAACCACCATATTTTAAACCATAGTTACAAAAGTTATTAATTTCAATTTACCAAAAATCATTTTAATTTATTTTACTAATTAAACTTATTAGCAAAAATAAACTGGAAATAAAACACAACATATTATTGAACATATTATTACTGATTTTTTTATCAAGGGATATACGGAAAATACAAATATACGCGATTTCGATCCATAGAAAATATCTTTTCCAATGAAATGAAATATATTTATTCGCTAGAAACAAAGTAACAAAAGATATTATATAAAGTGTCATGAACACGTGTTGTACCAGGTACTGGCACGCAAATATTAAAATTAAATTGAAGTTAAATAATGTCAAAAAATTTAAATTATATAATTTGTCCAATATGCAATGTTAAATGAAATTGAGAAAAATATAACAACAATAAAACCATAAAATAAACAATATCAAAGAAGTTTGAACAGCACAAATACAAACAGAATGTCAAATTGTAAACATTTAAAAAAAATCTTTGCTGTCATATTATGTCAACTGCCTCTGTGGCCAAACGGTTACCAGCCGGACTGCCACGCAGAGGTCCCAGGTTACATTCACGGGCCGCGAGAAATATTAGCATGGTCTACATTTGTTTCTCTCGTGAGTTTGGGTGTAATTTATGGTTGTATGTTTGTGTGTCCATGCCATCCGCGATACAGGGTTTCCCTAGTGCGGGGTTATTTTGAGTGAGTGCGTTGTTATTATTATTATTATATATACACAGATCACATTACATCATATCACACACAAATAAAATAACTTTTAAAATAATATTTTTATAGATAAGTCTGCGATGACTGCAAGCAAAGCATTATATATTTTTATGGCCATTTTATAACAATTCCTAGAAAAGCAAGTGGTGTTATGGGAGGGGCCAGCTATGCGGTTTGGATATCTGAAAAAAGTACCTACATACTTCGCGTTTCCTAGTAAATAAGACCAAAATTTTGTTAACAAAGATACATATCTCAAATATGTACATGGCGGGAAGCGTTAGGAGAGTTAGCTTTCGACGAGATTCAAACGGGCCTATTCTACATACAGCTTCTGACACATTTTTCTGGATAGAAAATGTGCGGTTTAGCAATGCAATGTGTAGAAATCGAAAATCCTAAAAAGTTGATAATATGCTTGTGTATGTTAACAAAATTATTCTTTTTCGCTAGGGAAATTAACGCATTTCGTAGACCATTTCCACATTTTCAAAACTACTGTTGATCGTGCCAAATCGGATACTATCGGGTAGTAACTGCTTCTGTGTAAAATCGAGAACCTTTTTAAAATTAAAACGACGACTTTGCAAGCGCACGTTAAAATGTATATATGTCGTATATCCTCTTGTTCTTACGAGCGTGTCGGTGGCATGTGCGAGCACAACGACGGTCGGGCGTTCGGCCGTGAAGAGTTCTATGACCCCTCTCACTTAAAATTTTGCTATAGCGACTTTGTTTATTAGTTGTTAATATTAGAAGGGAACGTATGGTTTTAATGGTCTTAAGCGATATCAGTAATAAATTTATCAATATTTTATAGTGATAATTTATACGGTGTGCCTTACTTAGTTTTATCGATATTTGGGTGTTTAGGCCCCAGAAACAAGTATAACAAACTAGTAGGCCTAAAGAAACATATCAATTGACGCTTTTGTATTATATAAATTGACATTTAGTTTTACAAATTATTTTATTTTGACAATATGAATTATTATTGAGTTATTAGTTACTAAGTTCCCTTGTTTATTAATAACTTAAAAATCAGAATAAATTAAAACATATTAATTAGTGCTGCAGTCTTATGTCCGTTTGGGATTTTTTATCAGAGGAAATAGTAGGTTCCAAACTGGTGGACCTGGTGGTACGGAGAAACCATCTTCCTTGTTGAAATTAGGATGTTTTTTGATTTCAATTGCCTCTCGCAGCATCCTGGGTAGATAACGGACTTTTTTTGTAAGGACCTAGGGTTTGTCAAACTTCATTGAATGTTATTCTTTTTTTTTGTGTAATTTAGCGTTGTGGCATTGGATTAATGTTTTCTATTCCATTTTATTAAAAAAAGTATTTATTAGGTCATAGTCGTACTTTAATAATCATAGAGTTTTAGCCTAAATACTCGCATATACCTTCATGTTCCACAACAACAAACAATTCGTCTATGCAGAGGGTTTAAGCCATAGACCGCCACGATGGCCAAAGCATTTTCTGACATGCATTGCTTGCATTTTCTAACATCAAGCGTGATTTTTAAGATTTCAATTGAACTCTATAACGCTTACAATAAGTACAGTCCAAAGTCTAAAATCTTACGCTTGATATACTGTTGTCTATTGGAATTTTATCTAACAAAATTTGCAGTAATAAAGTGAAAGTACATAGTTATTGTACTTAATGTTTTGTCAATTGCAAAAATCCAGTAGCAAAATGGTGCAAGTGACCTGGCTTGTAACTGTTACTACGCAATACATGACCTGTCACTTAATATAGAGGTACGTAGAGGTTGAAACTTATACTACGTTCAAGTATATATTTATTGGAGCGCTAAAGGCTGAATAATGATAATAATGTTCATATGAATAACTGGTCACATATACCAAAACGTTTAATTTGAAAAAAGAATGATTTCAATTGTTTTTTTTTTGGTATGTGTAACCAGTGGTTTATACGTATGTTGTTATCATAATTCAACCAGTTTTGCTCTAAATAATAAATATGTCCATGAATATATTTATACAAATCACTAAACCAAGTGGCGATAACTTATTTTTGGTGTCTGAAAATATGTTTTTTATAATGATATAGGGACGCCATGTTATCAATTTTAAAATAAAACGATGTGCAGTAATCTATGAGAGCAGGAAGTTTTCAGAACATTGACATAATTTTACATGAACATAATTTTTCGATTTATCTCTTCAATATGACAATCTCGTTGGCCCGAAGATTTGAGAAATGATTTCTTTCTAAATTCGTTCTGATCTGGATATTTTGGATGTCCCAGAGTGAATTTACTCTGGGAAACCCAAAATATCCATCCATTCCCCTGGTACTCATATTATAGGGAATTTTCCAGTTTTTATTCTCTCCCCTCTATAACATCGGGTCCTTCAAACGTAGTGTGAAGAAGCATTTGGCCAGACCGGCAAAATGATAGTGACGGAGTGAAGATATTTGTGTTTTCCATCCGTTACTCTCATCTCTGGACTGTATTCGCACTTTCCATCAGGCGCGGTGCAATCATTTTGCCGAGTCACAATAAAAAAAAATAAAAAAATAGGCGTGGTTGTATGGAAAATTATTATTAATATAACGACATAATACCTGAGAGAGTTGAACAAATTAACTTAGCACAGTAGAATAGTTGAGTGGCCTCAATAACGGGACATAGGTTACATAAGGTCGGTCGGATCACCACGTGCGCGTACGCAACTGGATCTGAGTCAAGGTCACATTATGGACGGTTATGTAAACTCATTGATACAGAGCAGTTATTGTTGAGAAACTCCTTTCTCTCTTATGAGCTAAGATTATTGATAAAGTGTTCTTTGTGAAATCGTATTGTTCAGTAAGCCAAACCAACCATAGACAAACAATGGTGTTATGGATCGTCCGATTCTGCCACTTAATTACTTTACTTTGTCTGAAAATCTCATCGAGTGTTATGCAACCATAAGGAATGAGTTGCCTCGAATATGCCTCTAATACACAATCGTAAAACCTTTTCACTCTCTATTTATAGAATTATGTCACGATGCTGTCAGATTTGATTTTGATATTCTCTGGTTTTTTGGTCTCAGCTAAGAACTCGGTTAGGAAGTGTCTTATGCGCTAGCTACACGATTACATGATAGTTTTGTCTTCTGTCCTGTTATGACATTAGATACATATTTACAGTTATTTACCACTGAATTCATGTTTAGATATGCAATTTTTAATTCACATCTTCACACCTAGTATCATAATATTAACGATATAATGTAAGTTTGTTTCGCAATAGTGTCCACTATTGTGAACCGAATAAGAAAAAAGAATAATGCTGGCTAGAGTCGGTTTGAAATTTCATGTTATTCTTTCGCATACATTCGTTTAAAAATTAAAACCTAGTAGTACGTCCAAGAAAGTAATTCTTACAAGAAATTGAGATCAGATTTGAACTTTCAAGTACGAAACATTTTTCTGTAAATATTGGATTTGAGGGGTTTTCACCTTCAAACGACAATTCTTTTATCATAATTATTTACATTTTAACTCTTCTGTTTGTAGCGTTATGACCCCTATTATCACGCTCACCAATTCGAGCAAGCTGTCATCCGTCAAAAACCTCTTCGGGAGCACGAGAAACCTCAGGATCTCCGCAACGTGCCTGGCACTCCGGGTATAGATTATCCTATATACCATGAAGTCCCGGAGACGAGCTTCTCATGTTCCAAAGTCCCAGTGCATCCGGGGATGTATGCTAATGTTGAGACTGGATGTCAGGTAAGAAAGTTTTAGTATATACATATATATATACATATAAGTAGAGCTCCTTGTGAAAGAGTTCGTCCAGAGAAGTACCGCCCCCTTTTCCTTTCCCTTTCTCATACCTCCATTGCTGCTTTCTCATTTTGAAGGACTAAGGGTGCCGGTAAGATTACTGGCACATGGGACCTGTTAACTTATGTCTCAAGGTGACAGATGCAGTGGCAGTGCCCCTCAGATCTTTGCGACTTAAAGCTCTGAGTGGCACTGTAACTGTTATGGCTAGGCGTTTCGCTTCCCTTTAGGCGCACGACTTCTTCATCCCGTCACTTCATGTCATAAAGAAAAACAGATCGAACACAAAGAAAAGTACCTAACTAGAGCTACGTATATACATGGTATACAGACGCAGGTTCTTTTACAAAAAATAAATGAATGATATCATGACATTTAATAAAATCAATCCCCAATTGTTGTTGTCAACGAAAATGTAAGCCTTTGTCATCATACGTCCTATATTCATCCTATGAGTAACGTAAAAAATATGGATTTTTTAAAATACTTTTATAAAAAAGTATTTACTCTAAAGAAAATGTAAACAAGGTACGTATGCAACTCAATTGAATATTCCCTGTGGTCAGTGGTAAATTATTGCCCGCTTTGTGACCGCTTCAGAGTAATGGCGCCATTGTGCCCGGTTACAGGGGCTTAATGAATTCACTACAAGAAATATAGGGCAGCGGATGTGAGTGGAATACGACCGCCTTTAAACTGTTCGTGATTGCTGTACTTTGAAGTGTTAATTTTCTTTATGTAATGTAAGTAAGAACTTTCCTTCGAGCACATTTTACGCAAGAGACGCTTAAATCGTGGTGCTACCGTTTCAGTAGTGCGATCAGAAAGGTGTTGAGGTGTGTGATTTAGGCTTGCCAGTTGGCCGGGGATTCCGGGATTGTCCCGGAATTTTCCATCTTGTCCTGTGTCCAGTAATTAGACTTTACTGTCCCGAATTCCAAATGCTTAGAAGTTTTGTTTTGTTTTGTTTTGACAAACTTACTAGATTCCTTTTCATAAAACAAGTCTCCCAGATGCAGCTCTGTAGCCGTGCGAATAATAACGAAATATTGATTGCGAATGACGTAACAGTTTTGTAGGTATCAGTACCTACAAAAATTTTAATTCGATATTATATGAGTATTAAAAACTCCCAAAAGATGGTAGAAAACAATGTTATGGCCATGGTATGACCGTCAAATTAGATAGATGGCCATCTGACAAATTAGTTCTAGTAGTAGACGGCCCGTCTCCCTTGCCGTAGTGGAATTGTCCCGGAAATGATATATCAGTATCCGGCAACCCTAATGTGATTACTGATTCCTAATAAATAAATTTGAAAAACAGAATTTAAATAAATAATAAATATAATATAACATAATTTCGGATACATAAGTAGAAACGACTTAAAAAAACAATATTACACTTAACTCAAGCTTTACATGATTGTTATTTACATTTTATTTGACAATCAATACATGAAACTACAATTACAATTCGTAAAATCTAATTATTTGTAAACATGTTTGCTATGTCAATTACTTAAAATAACAAGAGTAAGAAAGAAAAGTCGCCGAATGAGTCAGCTCACAGTTCCGCTCTCTCTTTTATAGAGACCGTGAGGATACGACGGTTCTAAGTAAGGGTGCAGCTCATAATAATATAATACAATACAGTACAATAAAGTACAATACAGTACAGTACAGTACTGTACAGTACAGTACAGTACAGTACAGTACAGTACAGTACAGTACAATTCAATATAATATAATACAATATAAATATTAGACAACATCACACATGTTGCTCTGATCCCAAAGTAAGTAGCTAAAGCACTTGTGTTACTGAAATCGGAAACAAAGACAATCCCACAATCACCCAGACCCGAGACAATTTAGAAAAGATAGTTTCTACACTGACCCAGCCGGGGATCGAATTCTACTCAGAGATGGTGACATCATGACCACCGGTGTGCAAGCTACTAGATCACGGAGGCAAAGGGTTATGGTAACTATGACTATTTCGTATTATTATCGTATCGATGGCATACACTGTAATGCTTGTCAACGAGACGAAAGGATTTCTTCAACCGGCGTAAGGTACTTGCTTATTGTACCCCAGGGTGTGCCAGACGTACAGGAAAGGAATGGTACGTTGTGCGGGGAAGCTCTTTTCGTCGCCTCCATTACAAATGCAAGGTCTGAATGCTGCTTTGCTATATCGGATCTATGTTATAGTTTATTTTATGATACCAAGACACGGGACAAACAAGTCGTGCGCCTGATGGTAAGCGACAAGCCTGTTCATAAGCAGTCGCAGAAACACTCAAGAGTTTTAAATCACGAAGATTTGAGTGGCACGGCGCCTGCGCCCGTCATCCTGAGACATAAGTTGACAAGACCCATGTGCCATTTCACCAGCACCCCATACCCTTCAAAACCGGAACGCAGCTTAATATTAAATAATAATGCTTATATTACTGCTTGGCGGCAGAAATAGGTAAGGTGGCAGCGCTTTCCTGGGCGAACTCTTTCACAAGGAGCTCTACTGCTACTAAACAAAAAATTTGCAGTATGTTTAGACTGTTTTTTGATGCACTACGTAATATATTAAAATTTTGTTTCGTATTTGATATGCCATTCTGGCCTTTGCAATAGCTATAGTTGGGTACAAAATGTAACTATTTTAATGTAGCTACGTAGAGCTTACAGTCGCTGGCTCATGTCCAGTTAGATCGAATGAATTTTTCTGTGTTTGTCCTATCTTTGTGTAAATAATAATATCAAACTAGTGGAATATTTTCAAAAAAAAGTAGATGATTACGTGGTAGTAAAAACATCATGATATCCAATATGTATAAAATATATAACTATACTGTGTGAAGAAAAAGGAAGCTAAACAAATAACTTAATTTGTTTAACTTCCTTTTTAACTAACTGAAGTTGTAACAGGAAGAGAAACAATCCTTTTTTCAACCTTGCAAACAATTTTACACTTAATTGTCCAAAGCGCACAAAGAGGTGCAAAATAATGACTGAAGAAAAGCGGTAGACCCGTAGCCTTTGATTATTCCTAATGATTCAAAATTTATTTGTCACCTTTAGCAATATTTTATCAAACGAATTGTGATAGAATACATTAGGAATTTGGGAATAATAGGACAGCGGCATTATTTTAAATTCCATTATTCTAAATGTTTGGACACCACATGTTAGGCTTGTGACTCTAGTGGTGATATTGAAGTGTAACAAAAAGATGTATAACTTTAGCAAAAACAAAAAATGCGTTATAATAATTTTTACGCCGTTTCTAAAAATTTTATGCAAAATATCGAAAATATCCTAAGATATTCCAGCACTGGTATGCTAACCCTACTACAAGCCTTGAAAGTGCGTATTATAAATTGACGATTTTGAACATTACCTGAGGCCAGGGCTGCCTTGCTACAGCTCGCTTGGTCTGCAAGGGAAGTTGGTAAGATGTTTTTGTGAGATTTGCTTATAGTGTAATTTTTTCTAAGATATATATTCGCGTGAACTAATACCGGAATCTACATGGTTGTCATTTGGTAGCGGTCACCCTTCTTAAATCATGCTCATGACATGAAACCTAAGCTACAAACTTTAGCTGTGGAGAACCTTTTATGCAATCGTGAAAAACTTCACTTTGACCTGGGGAAAATACATTGAATATTAAAAAGGCTTTGGACGTAATAGTGGATATTAAACCAATGATAATCTCTATGTTGGGCATCCCAGCCCACAATTGGACCGAAAAGGACACTTTCGTTGCTCGTCAAGTTTAATAATTATCCGGAAAACTTCCCTTGAAAGTGTTATCACTGGCCAATTCCAGCAAATTGAATAAGTTTGTTAGATATCGTTGTAATGCGTGGGTGAACCTCAGGGTGTTTAACCTAAGTCCAGAGCATCAAAGTTACTTTTGAATTAGTTATTGTGTCGTCTGATACCTAAGTGTTAACTGTTACTTAACATTAAACGAAACTAAAAAAGTATAGGGTGGTTTGCATTAATATTGGTCATACCGTTTCTCTTCCCTCAAAAGTTGGGGTAAGAGGAATAGTAAACTTACTTTTTTTTATAATACCAAATGAGGGGATGAACAAATCGTGCTATCTGTGGTGAGCGACATGCTTGACCGCAGCCGTTGCAGTGCCACTCAGAGCTTTAAATCACAATGATCTGAGATATACTACCGCTGCGCTCAACACCACGAGACATAAGTTGACATGTTCCATGTGCTTGTACTCTCACCAGCACCTTTATTACCCTTTAAAACCGGAACGCAGTAATGCTCACATAACTGCTTGGCGGCAGAAATGTGTAAGATGGCAGTACTTCCCTGGACGAACTCTTTAAAAAAAATCTTGTACAGGTAATGTACATCGAATCGAACACGATTTACTAATAATCCATCATCCACAGCCTGATTTCACCCATTACTGGGTCTATACCCAGGCCTATGCCTCCCGAAGTTTGTGCTATCCACCACAGTCCTGTGCTAGCCGCATCCGTTGACTAGACGCGACGCGTACTATGTTGTCGACCCACCTTGCAACTGGGCGCCAGACGTTTCTTTGTCTATCTTCGGGTACCAATCAGTTGACGTCTTGCGCAACCTGTCTTTACTCCAATAATCCAGAACCGATAATTTGTCTTATTAAAATCGAAAACGGTGCACTTAAAATCCTCTGTTTTCATATTTCCATATTCTAAATGGACGGTAATATTCAATGTCTTTTTTTTTTAATTCTAGGCATACCACGTCTGCCACGATGGCCGCGAAGGTCATCAGGGTGCTTCGTTCCTCTGCACAAATGGCACCCTCTTTGACCAAGCCAAGTTCGCCTGCGACTGGTGGTATAACGTGGACTGCTCACAGGCCATTGCTCATTACAGGTAATAAGTGTTCTTAAAATTGACATTTCACGTAATTTTTTGGAGAATACGAACAAGTTTCAAGCTCAAAAGAGAATGATTTGTATTTTCAGAATGCAATATAACGTTATCTGTATACTTATAAGAATTTGCCTAAACCGTTACTGTACAGTTAGTAAATCATTATCAAGATCTCGTTTGCTACATTATTTGTGAGGCTAAAGAGAGTGCCAAGCCAAAAAAGCAATTACAAAAAACTATTGCATTATTTATAAAGCACCAACAACTACGTAACTATTACATAAACATTTCTCTTTATAGGCTTAATGCTGATCCCCTGAAGAATCCCTACGTGCCTAAACCAAAACCACAGGAAGAGGAGCTTCCACAACATGGCCATGCTGGCTTAGCGGGTTATTACAAGAAAATTAGAATTTACTAATTTCATATTTCTTATCATCTTTCATATTTGTGATACCGATTTTGAATTATTTTTGGTGGGGTCATAATTAAATTTTCTTCTTTGCATTAACTTAACACAAGCTTAACACAGCAGTTAATCAATTGGGTTGAGTAATTCAATTTCGTTCCTCTCTTTTCTTTATGATGTTTTATAATTGTATTACATTTTTCTTAAATGATCTCTCACAATTTGATGTACTTAATATTGAAAAGGGTCTTTTCGAATTAATTTAAATCATTCAGTAAACTTTTATTGTAAGCTTATGTTAAGTTGTAATTGAAAAGTACATGTGCAAAAGTAAATACACTATTTTAGAGTTTACTTGAGTACTTTGCTGGTCTTTCGTTAGCATCTTAGGTTTGCAATTCCAATCTCGCGAGCTCACTGTATCATAATTATAATTTATATCTCTATTCTTAGTTCTAAGTAAACCTAATGTTTAAGAATCATCGCATCGCATCATTTTTGTCATTACAACTTATGCTTTTAAATTATACATTTCCATTCATCCCATTTTTTATTTAGACATTTAAGCTTCTACATTAATTTGGTTTTCATTTTAATTTATCAATGTTTACATTGTATCTATACGTTATATCTACTAGATAAGCTCTCTGTTTTCTTAGTTTTCCTAAATTATCATGGCAATGTTTAATTATAATTATAGATAATCAGGTCTTATTGACAAATATTACATGAGGGCTCTGCTCAAAGTGGTTGCTGCATTCATTCGTCCATTCAACCGGTTTATGATACGCTGTAATTCTACAAAGCGTACCTTGTAAGATAAGGTAGATTTTAAGATTGGCAATAGTTACCTTGTTAAAAAATTGTACATTATGGTTAGAATAAACGTAGGTTTTAAACTTTTGTTTTATTGTAGTAAGAATACTTTGTAGTTGATTGCTTCAAACACGTACATATTCAAAATATACAAATGTCGTCCCAAAATTCCTGTAATATTATTCAAATTAAACAATTTTTCGGAATCTAAAATTGGTTATGTTTGTTTTTTCAAACAAACCAACGTTTCGGGTTCTTTACAGGCCACATGGTCACGGATGGCTAACTCATAAATATGTATAAATAAAATAAAATAGTAATATAACATAATAATAAACAATTAAAAAATACCAAGTTCTTTCCAATGTATAGCAAACGCGAAAACCTACTTTCTCTTTTTTCTATTGTTGGTAGTTAACTGGAAGAGAATGCCTTCTGGCTTTAAGTCCGCCATTCGCACTTTGTTGTATTGTGCAAAAAAGTTTATGTAAATAAATAAACAACTGCTCCTAACCTAACCTAAACTCGACATTGCATCACTTTTAAAAACTAAATTCATTCATTATGGAGCAGCGGAATCATGTATTTTGCCATAGTTTTACTTGTCCATCAGTAGTCAAACTTTGTCGTCAGCATCGCAGATAAAACAACGAGGAACTCGTAATAACTTCCTAATGTAATCATGTGTTAGTCGCAGGGATGAGATATGATGAGATAGAAACGTTGCAATAACGCCTCTAATGATTGATAACTATAGTTTTCTGATGTGGGTGAGTAGACACGAGTGCTACTTATTACTTTAGTAAATAATATGACATGCGGTATCTAAGTTTAAGTACAACCGCGTAAAGTCAACGCGTAGTAGCAGTAGAACACCTTGTGAAAGAGTTCGTCCAGGGAAGTACTGCCACGTTATGGAAAATGAAATGCTTTTCTCTAGCCTTTTCATTCCGCAGAAAGTACGTGAAACTATCGAGATTGATAGTCATTCGAATTTCCATCGTGATAGTGGATGGTCGGCACCCCCTGGCCGGAAAACAGTGTAACGTACTACGTCTATGGTTAGTGTAGAGATGTAGAGACTTTAGAAAGTGACGTTGTTAGGGTAGTTGCAATCCTGCATATGACTTTAATACAAATTAAGCAAACGAGGATAGTTTATCGCCGACGCAGCCTCTGCCCGCAGCCGTACTGAGTGATCGGGCTGCCAGGGCTTTGGCGCGCAGTTTCCGTCGAGTTACCGCCGCGCAATCTCATGATTAAGGACCAATTGGACGAAACAGGACGAAACAGGACGAAACAGGACGAATTGGTTCGAAGCATGTCGAGCAAAAATTCGACTTAAATACGTCAGTTATCCGTTATATTAGTTAATATGTCTGAGTCTCACGGTGGTTTTCTGTTTAAAAGTACATGCACATTGGACTTCTGAACTTACGTCTTAAGGTTACAGGAGTAGTGGCAGTGCCCCAAAGGTCTTTGTGATTTAAAGCTCTGCGTGGCGCTGTAACTGATATGGACAGGCTTGTCGTTTACCAATAGGCGCATGACGTGTCCGTCTTGTCACTTGTTATCGTAAAAAAAGAAAAAGGTAACGTCCAGATGATGATTGCTTATCAGTGATAAGTTATCACACTATCCAAACTCTTGCTAGCTCTACTAGGAGAACTATTTGTTTCTATTATTAGTTCTTGCTAAAAGAACTGTAACCTTTGGAAACATGTAGAATCCACTATGTATTTCTGGCCTAAATCTTCTCCTTAGAACTAATCCCTGCTCAGAAGTGGGATGTATAATCTGTTGACGAATCAACTTTGTCATCATCGGCATATAATCATCTGTGTGTGTTTTCCAATTACAAGTGTTTTTTATTATACATCTGATAGTAATTTTGGACCGGCATGTCGATTACCACCAGGCGCACGACTGGTTCGTCCCGTGACCTGGTATCATAAAAAAACGTAAAGCAATGATCATAATTAACCGACTTCAAAAACGGAGGAGGTTCTCAATTCGTCTGTATGTTTTTTTTGTATGTATGTTACGCGATAACTCTGGTATTTGTGAACCGATTTTCATTATTATTTTTTTGTTCGAAAGAGGGTGCCTCCATAGCGATCCAATTTAATTTTGAACAAAATCATCCACCTCTAAAGGTTCACGCATGAAGATTCATTTTTATAAATCTCGCCAAAATTTTATCATGAGAAGCAATTATTTTAATAGTTGATTTTGCTATTCTCCAATTCAAGGCGTTTTTCTCTCTCAATATACTTTGAGTAGTGAGAACCTATTTTTATTATCTTCTGTGTCAAATCCCGTATAGTGGCGAACTAGGGATAAATCCGGGTTTGTTCACTTTCCGGTAACCGATTTCAATAAAACTTGGTAATTATATGTAATTCCACGTACTTTTGAGGTCGATTTTTTTAGTACTTTGTACTGAGATTATTATAATTTTATCATATCACATCCACAATTGTTTTAGTGCTTGCGAATAGTTTGTGTAACTTCTTAGAATTATTGAATAAATTTTTATATATTGTTATTTCTAAAAATGCTCTGTCAGTTTAGTTCTGCGAAGCTATACGCCTAGACGGAATCTGCTATTATTATATTCTTCTAAAAAATAACAAGAACTAGACAATAATTACATTCGCTCGCCAGTTAAGGCATTTTTTATTTAATCACGGTTGCAGTTGTCCCCAGCTTTGTTGCATATAGCTGCAGATCCGAGGGAAATTGCTTTAACACTGCAATTGCATGTTGTTCGACTGATTTTCATAGGGGTATTGCTATAGTTTAGAGTTTACAGTGGATTTTAGGTGCGACACTTTTAGTGTCACACGTAGTGTCAAGTTATTTCAATAATAACTATTTTCCGCTCAGGCGGTGCGCTCGTCCTACCGCAAAATGGTGGCATTTTGATTTCGCAAATTAGAAAAGCATTCAGTTTAAATACAAGTTTTTATAAATAAAAATTATTATTCTGCATTGCTAAATAAATACCCTCCGTACCACCAACAAAAACATCTCAAATAAAATGCAGTAATACACCGCAAATCCTGCACTTAAAAAGTACTAATGAAATTTTTGGTGTACTTGGATAAATATGATAATATTCCGTTTGAGTGGTTCTAACGTTTACCATGAAATTACTCCTTAAAGTATAGTTTATAAACATTTATATTCAGAGTAAACTTAAAGAACGCTACTTACGGTATGTTTTCAATAAATAAACACCGAAACACCAGTCCAAACAATAACACACGCGATTGTCGTGACGTATTTTTGAAAATGTTTATTTTTTTTAAATGACAGACCCAGGCATTAAAAACTTTATGGTTTGCTAGAGTACCGAAATAGCAATTAATATTAGTTCTTTTACCTGTTATAACTTCGATAGCCGATAAATCGGTATAAAATCATCACCGGCACCTCTGGGTGTGGTATGCGTCTACGGCTGCATGTATCGCGTGAGCGGTTATATATAATTTACACATTTTTATTTACACAAAAGTTTTCGGTAGCTTAGTAAGTAACGCAATACTAATGCATATTTTGTATAAGTTCATGTTTATATGAATTTTTTATAAGTACCCTTTAGAAAATTCATTTCCTAAATTGGTGCTACCGCGAATCGAACCCGAGACCTTCTCATTCTACGCCCGCAATGCAAACCGTAAGACCACCCTTACTCGCGGTTTCGTGCAAATGACAAATGTTTATTGATGTCAAGCACTCGTATCACTCCATAGATATGTTCAAAACATATTATTTTTACTAGATGTTGAACACTACTTCGACCACTTACAATTTTCACATGCATTATTACATACTACTAAAACGACACGATATTCTATAGAAAAGAACTTGTAAAAATATTTCGATACCCTAACTATAGGTATACCTATTTAAAGGTTGTTTTGAAAATCCTTGAAACACGCATTTTATTTGTTATAACTATTAATACAAATATCGAACACTTAGAAAAAATTCCTTCGATCCGGCCGAATTCGAACCGACGTTTTATAGCATACCGTGCCAGACGCTATACCAACTAAGCCACGGAACGAACCAGCGGACCTTATAAATTTCTCTATGTGTTTGTTGTCGTATCTTTGTATTTGGTTATTACAACGACATTTTAGCCGTAGCACCATCTATGAGAAATGTTAAGTATTTCGTCATCCGGTTGAGAGATGTCGCTATTCATTGTATTTAATTTTTTATTGAATTGATGTTCAATTATTTTTATGTGAAGTTACTCCACTTGTATGTTATGATTATTAATACAAAGATGGAACTATCGGAAAAAGTTCCTTCGATCCGGCCGAATTCGAACCGAACGTATTTATTTATTTTGTATTTAAAGTATCCAAAGCAAGTTTAAAGCAAATCGCATCACGCGTTCAAAAGTTCCCATACAAAGTTTAATAACCTATTTTAATACTTCGATACTCTAACTTTCCCCTCTTTAGGACTTACTTGTCTGGAAATATTATTTCATTAATGACTTATAAGTACATATCTTTTGTGTAGTGCATAGAACAAAACAAAAAAATGAACAATGTAAAAATACTCTTTTTTTTATAATGGAATTACCTCCAAAAGCCAACCAACGTTATTTCAAAAACGCTCTGAAACAAATTACTATAGTTTTTGTTGACAAAACCATTCAAATAGAATTGAACGTGGAATAAAAGGTGGACGTGCAATGATAATTGAAACGAGAACAATACGTAGCTGATAACGTGAAAACCGTGGAAACAAACAAGTAGTGAAAAGTGGACAGTTTTGTTTAACTATTGATTATAACATTGTCGAAAGGCGAGTTAGAAAAGGAAAACGCTGAGTGAATTTCAGCGTGTGTGCGCGCGAGCGTGCGTGCGTGTGTGCATGCGTGCGTGCGTGCGTGCGTGTGTGTGTGTGTGTGTGTGTGTGTGTGTGTGTGTGTGTGTGTGTGTGTGTCAGTGTATGTGTATCTCTCCTTACATTTTTATGAAATACGTTTTTAAAAATCTTGCTCTATAAGGTCAAAATAAAATAAAGTGTGCATATTAATTACCCCTCTTAGAGTACAACAATTTCTCTTACGTTACGTAGAAACCTCGTTGATGATCTCCCTTTATACTCGGGGCGCTGGATGAGGATGTTCCGGT